GGGCGGTGTTTTAGGCGCAAAGAGATTGTCGCCGACGTTTTCTCCATACTCGTCATACTCCGTACCCATGTTACCACACTTGACAAACCATAACATTCCAAGTGTCGACCTCAGCCTTTTGTCCGAAGATAATAATCCGAAATTATTGAAAAAATAAAAGAACTCTAGTGTCCATGTCTAGTCCTGAACGTCAGGTTGGAGTGTGGAGATTTGAGAGTGTGTGTGTGGAAATATTGGGTCCTGATGCAGTGTGAAGGGCGGGAGGGGGCAGACGAGGGGGTTGGTGTCCGGGCGGGTTGTCATAGGGAAAATAAATAAAAGAGGAGGCGGAGCTAATGCCTGATCAGAATTCTACCGGAGATAAAGTTAAATTCTGCTGAGATAAAACGCCATCCTGTTCTAAACCACATCAAAGATTATTTCTGAAACAGTATGGAGCTCAAATGCTTTTTCTCTTGCGGGTTTATCACAAGGTGAGTTCTTTTTTTTATTTCCTGCTTTTTAAACACATGTGATTCTCATCCTACTGAGTGAGCAACTCTATAGTGAGTAGGATACAGCCTTTTAAAGAGTTACTAAAAAGCCACTCTATTACAGACATATTGTAAAAACCATTCCCTAGGCCAGAAGCCCTACAAAACACAACAAATCTTCCTACAAATCTTAATCTTGCAGTGTTATGAAACGTTTCATGACAGTGCACCTTCACACATCTGTTTATCAAAGATTACAATACTTTAGAAATACATTTTCTTAACATTTCAAACCCCTTTAATTCCAACTTAAAGTTGCACACTTGAGGTACACAATAAATAAAAACACAAGGCCAGTTATACTAAAATTACTTTATTACAGCTGATTTCTGTTCAATATCCCTCTGCCAACACAATGGTAAATATAATACAAACAAAATAGTAAATTTGATCCTATTTTTATTCTGTTTTATGAATCTTTTTACACAATTTAAATCCACTTTTAGTACTTTACCATCTCCATAATCTCTCTGACATTCAACAACAAGTTCCACCATCTATACATTTTAATACAGGTTATGAGTTGTAGTGGTAATGTGCCAAAGAAGAATACTGACATCTTCAAAGAAATGCAATCTCTTTTCATAATTTGCCTGTCGCCACATCCTCTTTCCAGCCTTTTAACTTTGGCCACTAAAACCAGAACCGACTTGTTTTTATGTTTCATACATTTCTTGCCGTCAGTCCACTGATAGGTGTAACCCTGGAGATGAGACAATGCAGTGGTCTCTGGGCTTGGCAACTCAGGTATGGCACAGTGTTTGACCATAGAAAGGATCGCCATTTTTGTTGCAGACTCTCGTTCGGTATCCCATAAGCTTTCAGTCAGTAGGACAAAATTTGACATCAAAGTTAAAAATATAAAATAAAATCCCAGTTTGTGGAGAGGTCCCATGACTGACAATGATTGACAACAATATCCAGACTCCCTCACACACAACATTGACATAAAAGCTAACAGAATCTGTGCATACAGACTTAAGGTTGGCATGTATGTGAGGTTTGATTGGCCTAACATTCAAACTTGGCTTTTGACTTAAGGTAAGATTCCGATCATGATAAATACATTCCCCTTTTCTTTACCAAATATCAACAAATCAGAAAATAAATGATAAATATAATCTGCTGTGTTAAAGTAGCTGGAACTAGTCACTCTGCATTAAACAAAATAAAAGGTTTTGGGACCAAACCATATGTAACTTGATAAAATGCATACCTTTCGCAGATAGGATATATACACATGTGGAAACTTAACATCCCACCTATTTAAGAAACAGACCCCAGCAATTGTGTCCTCAATTGTGATAGGAATATATCACAGTATGACATTCAGAGAGCGCCAGCATCTGAAGAAACATCTCTGAATCAGTGGATTGGGGACAAATGATCAAATGTGTGCAGCAGGGGAGAACAGACTCTGCAGTGAAGATGCCGCCGGACTTAAGAGTGGCATTTTAAGTGGATGACTGAATTCATGCATTTGTGTCAAAACCAAGAGTATCTTCCAATGTGATGTCCAAAACAACTTAATAAAAAAAAAACACTTTGACAGTTCGCTAATATCAGTGTGGTCTGTCAGTTAAATAAAGTTAGTTTTAGAAATTATTTTCTTAAAATGTGAGTTTGGTTTTAAATGTTGTCTTTAATAAAATATACACATATGAACATTTAACTCCAGCTTTGTGATTCGATGGAGCATATATTCTAATTCTCTCTGGATCCTTATCCGTAATGGCCTCTTCAACAAAAAAATGTTAAAAACTATTTGTATGGAAATGGAAAGCCTAAGTAGAACAGTCTGTTAGAAATGTTTAAAGGGTACCCACTTCTCAGATGTTTCAACCACAAACCAGAGAAAAAGGAGCGAGCAGAGAAAGATATTATTAGAGGAACTGCTAGAGCTATCAAAGGAATTCCTAAGTGCTTTTTGCCACATACATTTTGTATTTGGCTGTTTTCACAATGTGTGTGTTCACTCAATGTTACATTTACATGTCTCTGATACAATGTCATGCTTGAGATGGTGTAATATCAACTTAGCACCTTACATTTTTAGTGTTATTTAACTGGGACCTAACGTTTTTAAGGTTGCAGAGTTTCTTAGATGTGCCAAGCCTGCTGTCATGGTCATGACAATTCATCTTCAAATTGCGCTCTTATGGACACTTTCATTTAGCACAGTTCAGTTTTTCATCGTGACTGTAGGGAAATCATATTTTAGAAACCTCACACACCCTCTATTCAATCTGAAATTCAGCATAGACACAAAGAGGGAATAACCAGCAACAGCTGTATTTCAAACAGTACAAGCTGCAGGAAGAAGGAATTCGCTCTTATTCATATACTGTTAAAATAAACTAGGTATTGGCCGTACTTGGCGAATTGCTCCTACAACATCACAACACGGGTTAGCTCAACTCCTCAACTTAACTACATGCGTACCGATGAAACAATAATCCACCAGGTGCTATTTTCTTTCCTTACACATTTTCTGCTGTATAAAGTGCTTTGAAAAAGGCAGCAGTTTAAAAAAGGCACTAATAAAAATCAACAGATCAATACTAGAATCGTTTTTGAAGGCAAATGAGTCTCCTCTTCCCCCTCAACACAATTCCTCCTGTGAATGTGTGCAATTACATTCTCTAACGCAAGTTCCCCCATAGAGGACCACAACTCTAAAGACCAAAAATAAAGTGACTGATTTACACAAGTCATTTCTCTATTGCTCACCCTTTTTAAGACTTAAAACCAACTTTTCTGCATACACAGTGAAAACAGTGATCTGAGAAAACTATTTGAGACTCGTGGAACTAAAGTCAAGCTTAACTAAACGTACACTGAATTTTTATTTATTACGCATCTAAGACTAAAAGGTTAAAAGGCACTGTAGTAGTGTTATAGCATAAGCCTGAAACGGTTAATAATATTGAATTTTGGCTCTCGTTCAAAGTGTCATTTTTGGCTGACGAACAGGAAATCAGGGAAAATAAAACTAGTGAGTAAAAGGAAGCACCGAATTCATCACAATGACCATTACAGCAGGCTGGTATCACAGCAGCGAAGCATTTTAAGATAGGCATGCTGAGTCAGAGAATCGACCAGTGTATAACTGAATATGAATCTGGAGTTTGAAGGAGAGAGGGCGGGGGTAAATAAATGTTATGATTGTTTGAGACGACATTTCTAAAGACATCGTAAGCACATGTCAAAGGCATGTGTTTCATGTGCAAAATGAGAGCAATGGCTGTAAATAGCACACAACATATATTCAAGCAGGAGAGAACTGTAAAGAAAAACAGATGGGAGTATTATTTGTTGACACTCAAATTACTGTTGTAACATAATTCTAAGGATCTGCATGTGTGCCGATAATCTGCCGTGAGGAGGGGCTGCGTCTCTTCCAGCCCTTTTGACCTGAGCAACACTAATTTCATCGCACATCCACATCTGTACACAGGAGGGGAGGGGGGGGGTCTCAGGGAAAGAGACAGAGCAGCAGAGCTACACCAATACTCTGTCCTACTGTGCTTGTTTTGATTCTACGTCTCCACGCTCAGATTCTGACTCCGGGGCTGAAAGGGGACCTATGTGAAGGAGAGGTGTGACCCGTTGGATATTTGAGAGGTGACACTGGTACTCCTGCTCATATTCTGCTCATTGCGCCCTCCCGAGGGTGTCCTCCCCATTGCTTGGGGGCTGTTCTGTGCACCTCCACTGCTGCGAGACACCATGCCTCCTGCTGATGGATGGCCCCATGGTGAAGGAGCCCCACCTCCCTGCCCCCAGCCTTGCTGCATAGATGCCCCTCCCGGACTGGAGTGGTAGTGGTGATGGCTGCTGTGGTGGCCGGACCCTACGCTAGAACCTCCGCTACCCCAGGGTGAGCCTTGAGAGCCCCCGGACGGGTGTTGTTGCTGATGGTGACTCCAATTAGCTGTAGCTCCGGGAAAGCTGTTGCTGAGGGCCTCTGGGGAGATGTTGGATAGCACCACTTTGCTGAAGCCCAGGCGCATGCTCTCTGAATCAAAAGCCTCTACTTCTCTGGCTTGACGTTCCAGAAGGCTCCGGATTCGCTCCAAGCGTTCATTCTGCAAGGACAACATCTCTTCCTCGATCTAAAAAAAAAGAAAAAAAGTGAATAACAATGTACGTATACAACACATGCGTTTCTAGGAAAGGGCAATATATCAATACTCGTGATAAGAGACTAGCCATTTTCTTAGATGTCAATATATCAAATGTTTTGTCTTTTCCAGATTTGTTTAAAGGCTTCATCGAAGCTAAATGATGTAGTTTTCTGAACTTACAGGAATGTTTTAGCCATTACATCATTTGCCTTTACCCGCTTAGATATCAAGTCCACATTAATAACAATACATTATCAATATTCCCTTGGTTAATATTGTGTGAATAAACCCTACAATATTAATTTAGGTATTTGTCAATACTATTGTAGTATGTGGTTTTCTTCATATTGCCCAGTCCAATGTACATTCCATATGCACTTAATGTTCTACCATCCATCATCTAATTATAAATCATAACTTATAAAGTAAAGTAAAAAAAACATACCAGTGTAAATAAAAAAATAAGGTATGGCTGAATTCCATTGAACTACTTCATTCAGGGTCCTCCTGTTGTGCATGCTGGCTCACTGTCAATGCTTACCGTGACACCGAGCCATCGTCAAAATGTACAGAACAATGCTGTGTCTCATTTGCCATATTTCACATTGGGAAAAACTAATGCACTCAAAATAGCAAATGGAAGTACAGTTATATGAAAATTGAGACACAGCAAACATTTGTATATCCCTTACTCTCCTGGTCATATCGTTGCACCCGTTAGAACTGGCAAAATAACATTTAAAAAAAACTTTTTTATTATAATTAAAGTAATCTAAAAACTCATAATCATCGAGTTGGACTAGTGTACATTTCACATGATAATAATGTATAGAGGGGAACCTTCTGTTCCAGCAGGGCCCTTCGGATGGACACCCTCTGCTCCAGGTCCTTCCTCTCGCGCTCGTGCTGGGCGTCTGTCTGCATCTTGATCTTGCTCTGGTAGGCGTTGAGCAGCTCCAGCTCCTGCTGCAGCTGCATGCGCAGGCCTTGGCACTGAGCCTCCTGAGTCTCATCCAGACGGAGCTAGAGACAGAGATCAGGGTCAGGATCCAACGAGTAAAACACACCCACCAGCATTACTGATTTTGACACATCCTCTATAAAAAGGTGGCAAAATCTAAAATTGGGTGGCACCTTCAGTTTTATTTTCTTAAACTACATTCCTGGCATTCCCCGACTCACCGCCTGAGTGGAAAGCATCTCATTGATGGAGTGGTCATACTGCTCTGCCAAGATGGCGAGTTTGCGGTGCTGCTCCTGCTTCAGCCGTTTAAGGACAGCCTTGTGCTCTGACTTTGGTGTGGTCTCCAACAGATGGTTCCTCAAAGCTTTGTACTGCCGGGTCTGGATCTTACACGTGTCCTGGAACTGCTTCTTGATCTGGAGCTCTTTGGACTATATCATAAAGGGAACAACTATCAAATTGTGCATTTCTCTATTCAAAAGCAAACATTAGGTCAACATAAAATACAGAACATAATTATGTACATTAGGTCGTGACTAACTAAATATTATTGGGCTTGGACAAGAATTGGAAACGAGGAGATACAGAGGAACAGGTCAGCTTATTTTCTAATTTTCACCTTAAACTTCCTAACCAGGGAAGGGGTAAAGCTTCAAACTCAACACTCGAACTTGAACGGCCCGTCCACACGGCAGCGTGCGTTGAAGCTTGCCGGTGGACATGTTTGGCGTGCGGCCAACAACCAATCACATTAATCTCCCGCCCCGGACACACAAGCACGCGGTTTGATTGTACTGGCATATGATTTGATTGGCTGACGCTTCCGTCGACGCTTGAAAAGTTGAACTTTGAACAACAGAGGCAAAGCGTGACGTCACCCCATTCAAAGTGAATGGGAAGCATCTCCGTTGAAACACGCACAACGCTGCCGTGTGGCCGGCCCGTAAGTCCTAAATTCTATGAATGAGTGCTTCAGCCCATAATGGCATATTCAGGATGAAAATGTGGCCCCCCCTGACAAAAAGTGAATTGCGTAAAACAGATCCTACAACTACCCAGGGCAACATTTCATTATTATTACAAACTCAGAGGCTGCGTTCTGACCTTGAGGCTCTTGGGCTGTTGGCGGACCTCCATAACGTGTTTACGTCGAAGTTCCCTCTCCCTCCTCTTGTTGTACTCCTGCTGATTGGTCAGCTCCGTCTGGTGCTGCAGGCGGGTGAGCTCAGCCCTGGTCTTTTGGATGGTGTTGAGCTGGCGGAACTCCAGCTCTTGCATGGACTCATGGTGCCGGAGAAGCATGGCGTGTTCCAAATCCTTCTGGGTCTGACGCTTGTTTAGCTCCTGATTATGTCCACATGGAAAGACAAACAACAAAAAACATGAGACTCTCACGCAGCAAATAACTAAATTACTGTGTTGATCCATTCATTCATATTGGTAACATTTGTAACCCAGCAGTGTACTGTAGGTGAACGAGTGCTGACCTCACGCGCTAAATCCTGTTCAATATTGTGGCGAGCGATCAAGATCCTCCGTTTGAATCTGCGGCACTCCAGGTCCAGATACTGCCTCTGTCTGCGCTGCAGGTTGGCCTCCTCCTCAGCTTGGAAGTGCTGGAAGTTCTCCTTCTGCTTGGACAACCACTCTTGCTTTTCTTTCTTGGGTGTAGACTGGTTTTCATTCAACTCCTATATGGAAGAGAAATAGCACGTTACTAGTCGAACTGTAGCCAAACATGTACTGACTGATGTCCATGTATGGGTCCAGAAGGCCTGGGACTCCCTACCTCTTTAAGTTGTTCCTTGCGAAGTTTGTACTCGCGTTTCTGAGATTCGAGGAAGCTGTTGAGCTCTTTCTTCTGCTGACTCTGAATATGTTGCTGGAACTTCTTCTCATCATTGTTAAAGGTTTTTGCCTAATGAAGAAATACACAAGTTAGCTCTTGTTTAAAAAAGTATATTTTGTGAGTGAACATGAATAAATAGGAAGCATACATCTTTCTCCATGGACACCAGGTGCTTTTTGATCAGTTTCTCCATCTCCTGGGCGAAGCTGTTCCTCTGGTTCTCCAGCTCTTTGTCCAGGCGGAGTCTGTGCTCATCCATCTCAGCCTTCAGCTTGTTTTCCAAAGCCATCAGCTGTTTCTGGTGCTGCCGCCTCATCCTCTTGTAGCCCAATATCTGCTCTCTTAACTCAGAGTCTTGTTCATGCTCCTTTATCTGGCGAGTCAGCTGAAAAAACAAAAAACAGGGATTCTCCTTATTGTGTTGTGGGTGGAAAGGAGGCAAACATTTGTTTATTGTAAAAGTGAGGTATTTCTTGAGACTATGGGAAACATGGACAATTATTTTTGCATATTTAAGTGCATAAATGTTTCAAGCTGGATTATGCCTCTGCTTTTGATTACATACAAGATGACACACTTTCTAGCCTTAAAGCATTCAATGAAAACAAGCAAAGGACTTTTGAACAACCCGTGGATGTGGAAAATGCCCAGCAGCTACACAACATTTATCTTAGCCATCTTCTTATTTGATCTGCAAACACAAGAACTGTGTTATTACCACTGAGGCTGTGCGAATGGTAGCAAAGTGTTCGCGGTTTCGTTTCGGCCGTGGAGTGTGTGCGGGAGGGGACTGAGGCTCAGTGGGTCGGGTGTTTGGCTCCGACTCTTCATTATATGTCTGTTCCTCCTGAAAGGTAGGCCACAATGCACAGAACATGTCAACAGCAGAGCAAGACACTCTAAGCGCAATCAAAAATAAGTATAATGTTTAAATATGGTGCTTTTTAACAGTGAGCACCATGTAACAAGAAATGTCTTCAGGTCGGACTGGAACCTGGTCCCCTTACCGGTTTGAGGTGTATCACAGAGCTGTTGGACATGACTGTGTGGTCTCCCTCTATGTCCACCTCACTCTTGTCATCGCCTGCATCTGTCAGGCTGTTGACAGAGCTGCTCTGGGAACTGGCACTGATTGACATACTGGGTATGGATTGGTTGCTCCCCACGCTGTTTACTGTCCCCGTCCTACCCATGCTGTGTTCTGGCTCCTAGAAATAACATGTACATAAAAGCAACAAGGTTACCTAAAATGATTTGTTATAACATGGGAACAAAATACAACATCTCTAAACTGGAGATCAGAGAGAGATAGGACAGACAGGAATGCAGGCTGGTAGAAACAGTCACATGACAGACCTCCTCTTCATCTTGTGCTTCCGTTGTGGGGCCATTGTGGGCTTCTTGAAACAAGATCTTCTTCATTTTACGATACTGCAGATTGTCAAGCTCTCGCACTGCGTCCTTAGTCCGACTTATCAGGTCTATGAGAACTGATTCTGGTCGCTCACGCTGGACAAATGCATGCTGGAGGTAGAACACAGGAAATAAGAATTGTAATAAAATCTTGACTTCGTATGAAACGTAATATGCCGTAGCCGTTTGGTTCTTACCTTTAAGAGCTCCTCAGAGTTTGGTCTATCCTGGGGAAATTTCTGAAGGCAAGAATCTACAAAGTTTCGGAAATATTCGGACCTAAAAGGGAGGGAGAAAATGTTGAAATACGATAGCGTTGCAATTATTTTAAGGACTCAGTTTACCAACAAAAAAATGAGACAGCTTTTGTTTATTTCCTCCTGAACTCACCATTCACTAGACTGCAGCGTGGGGCTCTCATTCTGTGCTATATGGTATAAGGCACTCATTGCATTCATGTTGAACAGTGGAGGCTTCCTCTCAGCTACAGACCAGTTAGCATGGGTCAGATTTTGCAAAGAAAAATAAAAGAGGAACGGAAGAAACAAACATTAAATCGGTTATTGACCGAATAAGTGAGCAAAATTCATGCTTTTAATGTTTGTAAAAACTAAAAACTTATTTTCATCTTGTGATGTGAATTACAACAGCGACCATACCTAATTCAATGCAGGTGATTCCCAAAGACCAAATGTCAATCTTTCCATCATACTGGCCCTCATCCATGGCTAAAATTACTTCTGGGGCCATCCTGAGAAAACAAACAGATTCAATACAATAGAGACATGTTAATAACTATTGAATAGAAAACTGTCAAAAAAACTACTTTAAATATTATGGCTGCTGTAGCGTACCAATATGGAGTCCCAACGAAGGAGTTGGCCGGGCAGGCAATGGAGGCAGAACCAAAATCGGCCAGTTTCACTTGCCCTGGCTCCGTCAGCAAGACGTTTCCTGCCTTGATATCTCTGTCAAACAAACAATAAGAAATGATTACAGCTGTACACAGAAGACAGAATGCCTGAGGGCACAAGTGGTACATGCTCACAAACAGCTGAAGCACTCACCGGTGAATCATGTTGTGGGAGTGAAGATAGGCCAATCCTCGAAGAGCCCCATGGGTAATTGCAGCTATTTCAACTTCTTGTAGAGGTTTCTTGTGAACTACAGAGGGAAACATTCAACAACAGCGATGTAAATCAGGAAAAAGGTGACAAGAACAAACGGTTGCCTGCTTGGAGTCATGAAGCATTCATTCAATGATCAAGCTTTTCAACTCACCTTCTAACAAATCTGAAGCAGAGCCGAGACAGTACTCCATTACCAGCTGCGATGAAATAAAGAGTGTTACATTAGTTTTTATCTCATGGTTATATATTTGAGTGATCCTCACAGATTCTCAAATGGAGCCTTACCCAGGCAGTGTGCTCTCGCAGGTAACATCCTTTGTACTCTATGCTGTTTGGGTGTTGTATTCTTTGCAGGAATTTCACCTCCTTGATTATGTCTTGCCATTTCTGTGAAAATAGCAAACATTTTAAGGATGCAAAAAACAAAAACACACAAAAGAATTGTGATAAAGATGAGCTGCTAACATGATACAGGTAGGTGAAAGCTGTCATACCTCGGTGGACTGCTTTCCACTGTAGGACATCTTCTTGATGGCCACCACCTCATTTGTCCGCACATCCCGTGCCTGAATGAACACATTGAAACTGTCATTGCCACTTTATTTTACATTACCAAGGATTTACATTTAAATGTGCGATAAAGGATACAAGGCTAAATGGGAACAATTTGAAATATCTGTTTTACCAAAACTATTTTCTTTGTATCATTTACCTATAAAAAGGTCTTAAATTATGGATATTTGCATTTTAATTCAACAATCACTATGTGACCTCATTGCCCCACAATCATGACTCAATCTGTATAAGACAATAAAATGCTCCTCATTCAAATTCAGACTTTATAGCTGTTAGGGCAACATGGCATTGTACAACAACAACAACAAGTTGAGACTCGTGATCCAATCCTCTGTACACTGACTATTGACTAATAATATGCAATACATGTTTATAACAGCTTGGATGGAACTTCAATACTACATAGACCGACAAATACATCATCATAATAATAGATTTCTACTGTAAAGTGTATCTAGGTAATCATTTGACTGAGGTCCAGGCTGACACACCAACAGTGTCATTCAGAAAGTCTTAACAACACTTAACAATCATTCTTGAAATGTTCTGAAATGTTTAAAAGGATTTAAAGGCCTTTGTGAATTATAGATCCACGCTCTACAATTGCTGAATACTGAAACAAAACAGAAACCTTTATCAATATCATCCCAATGACCAAAGATCTACAATTAATCTTTAAGCCTGTTCCGTACAGACTTGATCAACTGAAAGACATTCATAATGTACTTCTTTGTCAGTGTTTTATAGCACTATGAGTCAGGAAAGGTACCACAGCAGGATGTATGTTATCATCAGTAACAACTATCTTGAAGTAAACAATGTAATCAGCTCCTTCCTGTGACACAGGACTATATCAGAGATGTGCACCTGAATACATTTCACCCAGAGTCAGACTAAACCCGTCCGATCAGTCAACCTTTTATTTTTTGGGCAAGACCCCTGCGTGTCTAAATAAATCGGCATTGCGTTGCCCCCTAAATGAAATGACAACGATGCTATTTTTTAAGAAGTATCGATGTCGGAATGAACATAGCCTTATTTGATTAAATACTTACAAAGTATACAGCACCAAAGCTGCCATGTCCGATCTCCCGCAGATCTGAGTAGAGCTTTTCTGGGTCCTCCTTGAAGAAGAGATCTGCGATTTCGGGGTCCTTCAGGCTCCCCGCCCGACTGCTGTTGGGCATAATGGGGAGTTGGGGGGCGATGCCGCTGCCGCCAGGAACTATCTGGGTCTGCGACAGCGACTTGAAAGCCCCCACCGATGGCTCATCTGCAGGACAGAGGTCTCATATGTGTTCAGAGCTGAAAAGTTAAAAAGCAAAAAAACAGGATTGAGTACACTGAAGAACAAAACAGCAGAGTGATATAACCTAATAAATTCAACTGTCTACAGTACAGTGCTTCATTATTTATACTTAAAGGACAATAGTACAATATGCTCAAAGAGAGGTTTGATAAAGTATTCTCCCTTCTAAATTAGGTAGTATTGGCAATGTTATGCTACAAAATAATCCTCTATGTTACAGGTAATGTGAAAAAACAGGTCGGCTAGGTGACACTTCTAACCTCTCTTTCGCTTTCTATATTGAGCTATAGTAGAGCCTATTACCCTGAAGAAGGAAAGGCTACGCAAAACATGAAGTGAACCATAAAACCAGGTGCAAATGTGGAGAATGGCCAGTCGGAAACTGAGGGAGCAAGAGATAAGTCTCCTGTCTCCATAGAAACAGAAACCACAGTAAGAAAATCAGTGGGCTGTGTCCTGACAAACTCCCCTCACACCTTCAGTGACTGGTATGTAGACAGACAGTTGTGAGGAGGACACAAAGAACTGTCTCGCAGCAGATAATTTCCAGGGCGAAAAAAAAGGTAACAACACGTTGCTTCACTGGGAGATAGATGCCTGAAGTGAAACGAAGCATTCCAGTGATAGGACTACTTGTTAAACCTGTAAGTACAGGTCTCAAACATACCAAACATTGTCCATATAACCTTCCTAAGAGTGTTAAGAGGATCAGTTCAACTAAATCACAACAAAACCTATTCCCAGTTATCCCAGTTATATGGGGTTTCTAGCCCTGCTTTTGGTTCTGTTTCTTCTGTCCTAGTTTTGAAATAACCAAAATATACCTTTAAAAAACAAACGTGTTTATTTAGCTCACTGACGATAACCAATCAACCTTACTGGGAAGAGTGGCCATTGAGAACAGTTTTTCTTCAAACGCTGAAAATATCTACAGTTGGCCGTTTGGATTAACCTGATTTCAAAAGCTCACCATATAAAACCAAAACTATCTGCATGATTAGACTAGGGATGTGAGGGAAAATGTGGATTTTTGTTTTTCTTATTTCAGATGAAAGTTGGCCGATAATAAAAAACAGAAATGGCAAGGCTTCAACTTTTTAAGTACTTGATGTGCAATAAATAGTTTGTTTTACAGTGTCACTGCTGTAATACAGATGTAGACTGTAAAGATCATGGAGGAAAGTTTACTGAGTCCATGCTGCTCAGATGATCAGCTGCAAACAGATGCAGAGCTGACGCTAGAGTCACAAGACTGCTCCCAGCCTGGGAGAAACAGCCCCCAGTTCAAGCAGACATCTTTTGTCTCACAACAACACTGAACAACTCACTATTCCACACAGATGCAGCCACTGCCCTGAAATAAAGCCTCATTACCATGTGGGACTGTGCCTCTTTATTGCCATTGTTCTTTACTACATTGTCGCTCATGAATGAGCTTTGTTGTCATATCTCATGATGACATTTTCTCCCGTGGGCATATGAGGCCATAAGTGAGTGATGATAACTGATACCTTCATAAAACACTCTTGCGTTCCAACTAGCACACATATATGCACAAGAATGCAGCAGGACAGGACAACAAAGCTTGAGGGCTGGAATTCCCAATGTATGCCCTCACTGCGCTGCATTTCACAGCATTTCCTGTTCGTACAGCTATAGGGAGGTAGGAAGGGGCCCTGGTGAGCATTTTGACTAGTTATTATCTCTCGACTTGACATTCTTAGAGACATGCATTGCAATAGCAGAAACAGATGTAAAGAACGTTTTAAATCGTTCATACCATACAGTGAATGTGTCTTTACATAATGACATCACTTAAACACAGTATCAGTTTTTAACTTATCAGTAATGTTGTACAATTAAGTCATTTCCTTTCGGCATTCCATTGCACAGCACAAAACCAACAAACACATAATGTATACCACCACAGAGTGTTTCATCTGCACCACCCCTGTCAAAGAACACACACATATGATTGTGTACAGGCCTTTAGCACAGCACATTCATAACTAAGATTGGGCCTAATCAGAGTTATTCTGTTGGGATAAGTAGACACATGTACAGCATTGTTATTGCTCTGAAAAAAATAAATCACTATCAATTGACACATTTTTGTCCAAAACAGTCATATATGAGGGAAGGTATTTCAGCATTTCCTGCTGCGTTACATCACAAGTTACCTGTGGCTAGGTAACGTTAATAAATCCCTGGAATTGCATCACAAGTGGAATTAGAGAGAGCACTTAGTGGGATTTTCTGAAAGTTGTCACTTTCTAACAGGGGTTTCAGCTGTCACACAAGTAAATAAAACGAAAGTCTGTATATATAAAAAGACCCAACAACAACCCTCAAGCCAGCGCAATCAAATCAAAGGTTTCAGGAGCTCCCACACTAGCCAGCGTTGACTGTAACGTTAGCTGCACACCAAACTTGTCGTCAGCTAAGCTAAATTACGTGTCATATGATCAAACAATCCGAGCAATATTCGCTACGTATTTACAACGTGAACAGTTGAGTAACTACACAACATGGAGTGGAATTAAACCAACTTCAAGAGTAATTTACCAGAAATGGCTAAATTAGCAAGCTAACCTATGTGATGTTTGCTAAGTTAGCTTTTAGCCAGTTAGCTGAAACTCACCCTCTCCTGACAGGCCAGGTTTCAGCACTGTAGAGAATGTCGTGTAATTCAAAGCAGTTTAGGATTATAATTATGTTCCTCGCGTTTCATCCCCGGCGCGGTAATTTCGTACGCTAAATCCTTGTGGTTCTTAACGCTGTCAGTCGATTATAACATGCAGATTTGTGAATAAGTGTTGGTTAAAATCCCCACCCTCGAAGTAATGGGGGAGCCAGAATAGTCGAATCCCACTCCCAGGCAGGTCCAAAGATGGCTGCCGAGCGCTCCGCCGCCGCCTCCCTTCGTGGAAATACGGTTGGGGAGAATGTGAGGGAAGTTCAAACTCTTACAAAACACCCAGAAACAAGCCGCCAAAGTATCCTCGATGTTGTAAGAAAAACAGGGGATCTAAAATAGCACCTTGCCGTGTTAACACGTTACTTTAAAAGCTGTAACTCAGCCTGCCTGTCCGTCTTCCTTCCACATACTGCAAACAGCAGTTCCGCCCTGCCTGTTGTAGTTGCAGTAAACTCTCTCTGACCCAAAAACATCCAGAGGCGGAGACGTAATTAAGAAACACTCTGTCTATAATATACTGTATAGTGGAGTTAATTCTCAACTCTTACTAAACTTTACTGTTAATTTGTGGTTTAGTATTTCCTCATTATATGTTTTGACTAAATGACTTTGAAAAGTAATATAAAGCAGAGCTATTACCTTTCAATGGAAAATGCTTTTTGCAAAATACAATTTCACAGGTGGGTTCACTAGTTTCGCATACTGAAAATAGTTATTAGTTATTAGTATTTTTTTACCGGGAAGTCTGGTTGACATTTCAAAGGATTCCATCGATTTATTTTCTCTATTCAAAAAATAAAAACAAGACCATCAGTTGACAACAATACAATCAAGACTAATGCAAAAAGAGAGACAATAAAAGGCAAAACAAAGTCCATAAGATAATAAAAGTTGTAAGGATTTGGGACCTGTCTGATGGTACCCAGAAGTAGAGTTGATGGAGGATTGATGATCACCACCACTTTAAGCCCAGAAATATAGGAAAATATGGACAGAAACTTAATGACAACTTGAGGAAAGCATGTTCTATTCAAATTGTATTATCATGTTTTCTTAAAACATGTTGTATGCCCTAATTATGGCTGTTTAAGACGTAAAATGTTCTCCCTGTATGGTTATACTCGCAGTTAATAAGATTGGCAGTAGATATCAGTTTTTCCAGGCTACTATACCTCAGCAAAAAAGCCCATAAGCCCCATTTGCTGTCAGCCGTCCTGGGACCATCACAATTCAAAACACATACAAACATGCACAGGTTTACATTACATTACATTGCATTTAGCTGACGCTTTTATCCAAAGCGACTTACAATAAGTACATTCGACCGGGAAGATACAACCTTGAAGAAAACAGAATCATATAAGTGCATCAGGCTTCATAGAGCCAAACATTTCAAGTGCTACTCAACTGGCTTTAAATAAGCCAGCCCTTTATTAGTATATAAGTGCTTTGTTAGTTTATATTTGTATAGTCACCATAAGGGAATTGTCTAAAATGCAAATATTCTGCTGTTGGCTATACTGAGTTGCTCTCTGGTGTGTTATGTGCTGTGCTCTGTGGACCCTCAGCAGTAAGCTTGTTTTTGAAAGGCCAAAAAGTGCATCTCAAGGCCCTCCACCTTGTTTAACTTGAAGATTTGAACCAGATACAAGTCATTTCAAACTAGGCAATTAATGATGTCATGTATATCAAATTGTTTTTAATTTCAGAAAAATGGACAACAATTGGCACGTCTTCTTTATATTGCCATGCGACTGGATGTCTATACTACATCATATTTAAAGAATTATTTATGAGCAGTCCAAGAGAAGCACTTTTTCTCTTCAGGCCATACCTGATAGTCTATTGTTTACTGATTCTTTCTCTGCTATTTGTGGGTTAGAGCATGCTGTAACAGAAAACCCCTGTAGCCTCCTCAAGTTCAAACCCTCTCTCTCTCTCTTTGACCATCACTATCATGGTAACAGCTTGTACAATAACTTGCCTGTTTAGAAAGCCAGCTCATGGCAAAGTTCTTCGCAAGTTGGCTGTTAGAGGGCTTTTGGATGCCACATGTGACTGGTGCTGTATGTGTGTTGCACAACTTGGAGCTTCTCCACGAGGAGGGAAGATCCTAGAGGGAACACTAATTTGGCTGATTTGAGCCCATAATAGCCCTGATTGAACTGCATATTCTAAAGCAGATAAGACTGGCCATATAAGGCTTTAAATGCAAAGCAATAGGTTGGCTACCAATTTTATAAATCTATTAATTAAAAAAAAGCATTGACCTCTTAATTTTATGGCAAAATTAAGTTTATTTAAGCGATGAACGAGTCCTTGCACATGAATAATGGGCATCGATGTGGGCTATGTGGGGAAGTGCATGCACATTGGAGACTAGCAAACTAGTAAACTAAGCAAAATCATTACAGCAATGAGAACAAGGTTTGAATATCAGAGGACGAAAGAGAGGATGTATATGTCTTTTGAGAGGTGGTCCTGAGCTCAAGTCGCATATTGCCCCATTTGTGATCATCAGTAGGCTACTCACATTTATATAGAATGATTTAAGCAGAAAAAACGTTTACATTATTTGTAATCTTCTCTTGCTGCAAATCCCAAATAATTTCCCAATTTTGATCAATAAAGTACCTATCTATCTATTTATCTATCTAAATGTATCTTTCTTGAGTTTTAGTAGCCTACTACTAACGTAATTTAGAAATAAAGTGCTTAAGGTTTCCGTTTTACTTGCTACATGTTAAGCATTTGATACAGTAATATTGTAGTATTTATTAATGCAAATTGATGTGGAGAATGACACATGATCATGACCTAAGCTTTTATTTTGAAGAAGAATCTCTCCGGAAAGCCTGAAGTCACGCCTCTGTGATGACGCCATTGCGTCAGTGCGGAAGTACTCTGACTCTTGCACATGGTGAAAATGGCTGCGAATGAGGAAAAACAACAGGGGCACAGACCCGGCGTATTTAAACAGAAAAATAAAGGCCACAAACATGGCAAGCACCGGACGAAAGGTGAAATTGAGAGAGAAAACAAAGGTAAGCTGTGTTCCGTTACAAAGTGTTACTTAACAGGCGCTGTTTGCTTGTGACTGTGCCCACGACTCTGCAAGCACACGTGTTGAGTCTTCTTGCGCATTTTATAGGGGGCGTCATATGAGAAGTTCATCAACACTTCTTTGTAAGAAATCGAGTTAAAAACCCACCGTTTCTCGCGTCCCGCTTGACGTTGCTAACTAATCTGCGTACATATTTCTCCAAATGACCCGTGACCTTATAAAGCATGGGGCAACCAATCAGAGCTCCCAGACATGCGTTTTTTTTAGTAGTAGTTTTTTAGAAGTAGAAACTGCCCACGGTCCCATGGACCGGAAGTAGATGGGCGTGACTTCGCCACTCACCATGATCATCTTTAGAAAACAGAGCACGCAAGTTAACAGGATCATAAGATTCATAACATAATGAATTACATGTTATAAAACGAGATGTCTCTAAGGTCTCCTCTAATAACTCTTAGGCATCGATAAAGCTCAATAAACATGGTATTGTTCATATATTTGTTACATTAGGGAGAGTAAAAGCAAGTATTAGTAAGATAACATTCTTTTATTTTGATCATCACATAATTTAATTTTAGACTATATATACAATGCCATCCAGAAAATTGGGTAGCTATCATGTGTATGTGAATCTGACAGCCTACATCAACATACACAATTTTTGATACGCTATTTCAAAGCTATAGCTATGCTCAAAGGCATAGTTAAGGATTTTTTTACATATAGGGGTTTGAGTTACACGCTGTAAAGAGGAACATGGACATTATTATTTTATGTATTTAAGTACAGAGGATCCAATTGAACAGAGAGTATGTCAGATATAATTGAACCACAGTAGGTGGGACAACTCACTTTTTAAATTGTCAGAATATTGTTTAGTTCCCAACAACATAGCAACAATGACAAATCAAAGTATGGCTTGAACATATGCATTAAATAAATATTACTTAGAATTGAAGAAAAAAAGTCTAGCCAGTCTTTGCTGCAGGGCTCCAAACTAGACAGGTGTTATTGATATATCGCCCGTCCAGCAGCTAAGATATTGGAAACATGTATCATAACCTCAACAGCCGATAGAAAGTCATGTCAATATCTTGTTTGCCCTATTCACATATCTCCAGCAACAGCTTATAGTTACATTAAAGGTTTTCCTCAAAGGACACCCACTTGGAATGTCAATGGTAGTTTAAGAGATTAAATAGTTTCACATATTGATGCCCCAGATAGCAGAGCACAAAAGCAAAAAGTAATTTTTTGCAGTTTGCCAAATTTTAAATCAGCCTTCAATATATGTTATGAGGAGTTGAGGCCTTTTATTGCGATTTGTGTTTTGCTCAATAAAACATCCACACCAGTTATATCCCCACAGTAATAAATACTTCTGTCTTTCAGGTAGAGTATCAGTGACGGCCCTTACTAAAAAACAGAGGAAGGAGCATAAGAGGATGGACAGAAGGAACAAAGCCAACCAGCTACGCAAGAATAAGAAAGACATGGTAATTTTTTATTCCAAATAAAGAAAAGTCTTCTTTTAAATTCCTAATTGTTGCAGCACAGTTTCACCGCTCATGTATTTTTAGGTCCTAACAGAAAAGCGCCGTCTAGGCACAAGGGACGGTCCTCCTCACCTGGTTGCCGTGGTGTCCCTCCATGGTGGAATCGATGCTGGGACTGTTACCAAACTGCTACGTGGGGAGGGGGCCGGGGGTGTCGGACTTCAGGAGCGGTGCATCAGTGGAGTCACTGACAGTTTTGGGATGCTTCTGCCTCGTTTTAAGCAAAGGTTCAACTTTCTGAGCATCAGCACGGGTCAGTATCAAGTGATATGGAAAACTGATTACAAAGAACGAAAGTGCAATGTGTTACGAGTTTAAAAGCAGTTAATTTATGCATTAACAGTTTTGCAGACCACAGTGATGCGACTTCAACCTTTTATTTTGATTCATGTTGTGATTAGTTTTTCAAATATAACATCAAAACAACATAGACAAAAGAAAAAACAGTCAGACAAAAGCACAGTCCAGCATCTTGGATGATACGATGTATACACTGTTAATGTAAATCTATATTTAACGAGCAAATTAAGACAAGTGTTTAAAGATTGTATCATGCATAGGCCTTTCATTTACGAGTTTGTCTTTATTTTGGTCACTGCTGTTCCATTCTGAAGCTTCTCTAATGTTTTTTGTTGGACAGCTGACATACACTCCCTGCTGGATGTGGCAAAGATTGCAGATAGCCTTGTATTTGTACTGGACTCTGATGAAGGTTGGGACAACTATGGAGAATACTGTCTCTCCTGCCTCTTTGCCCAGGGCCTTCCTAGTCATGGTGGGTATAAATCTGAACACACTGCCGGAAGTGTTTAGACTCCTTTATTGACACTTGTATAGACTTTTGTTGCAGCCCATTATATACATTATTTCAGCTTTTTATGGTGTACATTTTCTAAGTTTTCCTCTCTGTTCCTACATTTGCCCCGTGTAGCACTGGTGTGTCAGGGTGTGTCTGAACTTCCTGTGAAGAAAAAGGTTGATTCCAAGAGAGCTCTGTCGAAAATCACAGAGATCCGTTTCCCTGATGAGCGTATCTACCCTTTGGATTCGGAGCAGGATGGCACTCTACTTCTCAGACACCTGGGCACTCAGAGACAGAGAAAGCTCGGTTTCCGCTCCAGACGTGCCCATCTTTTGGCTCAGAAAGTGTCTTTTACGGCAAACAGCCCTGCTGAGGGGACAGGTGGTGGACCCACTGGCCTGGGCACACTCTGTGTCTCTGGGTACGTCCGTGGTTGTCCTCTACAAGTTAACAGACTGGTGCACATCACTGGATATGGAGACTTTCAGATCAGTCAGATTGATGCACCTTCAGACCCTCTTCCCCTCATCTTAACAGCAACCAGACCTGCAAAGCCTGGCAAGGAAGGAGACTTTGACATGCAGGTAGGTGAAGAGAAATCAAACAGCTAGAGCTGAAACCTTCTATTGGGTTGGTTCATTTATTGGTCAACATGCTCTAGAAAAATGACCGTTGTTGGTGTTGCTTTCAAGGAAAATTTGTTTTATATCCATCATATGTGGGAGCATATCAGAATTGTCATATTTCATTAGTTTGGTCTATTAGACTCATTTGTTTGTCTAAATTATGTAACTGCAACCGTATTCATTCCCTATTTTTGGAAATCAGGAGAATAGGCAGGTGCAGCCTTGATGGCTCCGAGTCAGTTGTTATCCGTTAGTTCGTAAATAATATGTTTTAAACATAATTCGAATTGCTGCAATTTGCAGCTCCCTGCCAGTGACAGCTGGTTGACGTGTAGGGGAGGGATTTCTGTTTCTGTTCTAAGATTTTGTTACTACACTCTTAGACAAATAACAAAAATACCATGTGAGCCACAACACATTTTGTTTTTTTTGCATACAAATGGAGTGCAAAAAAATGTGCACTTTTAACTTTCTTACCATGCAGCAATAACGTAACCTTGAAAACAATTACCGCATTCATGTTATCGATTATAACACTAAGCAAGGTGTCATATTTTCAAATTGTTAATGAATTGAAAGAGCAGCTGACTAAAGTATTCTGAAAAATTCTAAATGTAAACCTGAATGCTGCTCGTAACAAATCTGTTAAATGGTTTGGTATGTTTTTAAATGCATAACTTGACTTTTAACACTTTGTAATGGTCAATTAGTTTAATCTTTACATTTCCAGTTTACCTCAGTCATCTGTGTTTCCTACAGGATGGAGGCGAGGAGGAGGCCCCAGTGAGGGTGCTCATGAAAGCGGACCCCTCCAGCAGGGAGAGTCTGCAGGCGGAGGCTGAGGTGGACCCCATGGAAGGAGAGCAGACCTGGCCAACAGACTCAGAGCTCCTGGAAGCTGAAGGTGCGCAAACAGAATGTACACATTGTTGCTGTTAGAGCAATCACAATTGTTGTTGTAATGCGACTAGCACCAAATGATGCTGATGATAGAGTTCACCTTTCCACGACTTGACAACTTTAAATAATTTCTGGCTACCAGAAATGACGTGTACTGAAATGCCCTCCTTGATTAAAAGTGTGGAGAATAAAAAAGAAATTGCTTTATACAATGAAACCCCAATAAACAGGATTACATTGTTTTCACTTTTTAGAGGCCAGGAAGAGCAAGCGTGTGATGAAGGTCCCTAAAGGAACATCAGAATACCAGGCCTCCTGGATTGTTGATGAAGAGGAGGAGAATAATGGAGAGATAGACAAAGAGAGCAGTGAAGAGGACGACGATGATGACGACATGTTGGACGAGGCAATGGAGGATGAGGACAATGTTTCTCAGGTAAACATTCAAAGTCTTTTTTTAAGCATTTACCTGAAACACAGGAGAAATTAGTGGAAGAGATGCATGATCCGTTTCTGAGGCTACATCCACACTTCAACAATCTGCATACACAAGCGTTTAAAGAATAATATAACATTTATGAAAAATATAACCTAATTGACGAAATTGTTAATTCATCAAATGTATTATCAATAAACAGTTTCAGAACAAGGTTTTTTAGCTGCTTCTAGTTGTCATAGCAACTGTGCAGTTGCAGTCACAGTGGTATTTAATGGAGGATGATGAGGACAGTGATCCGAGGAAGAGCAGTCAGTGGCAGTGGTTCCGGGGCTCGGTGCATACGTGACCTGCCGTCTACACACCTCCTCACTGAGAGGCACTGTTTGTTTTCTCAGTGTCTGTCTCTGGCCTGCAGTGCCAGGCTATACAACAATAGTGTTTGTAGCAGGAGTCCCGAGAGAAGCCTCCTGTCTTCCTGTCCTGTGAACAGAACTTCCCGTCTGGACGGAGGGAGGGGACGACCATTTATTTATTTCCAGCTCTGCTTGAAAAGACGTCGGGGGAAACTCTCCTTATCCAATGGGTTTATTACGATCTGTGATTGTTATTAGCATGTGTTTGAGGTCAATTTCAACGCACAGGAATACTTATTTAGGAGAGCGTAACAATAGGGAAAAGGGTACTTCAAATGATAATGATTATTATCATTGCAGCGGGGATGTTGGAAAGGTCATGAATCAACCTCATGCTGGGTGTTTCCCCCCCATGTGTCTGGCTCTGCCTGTAATCTACAAGTTGAGGAAGGACTTTAAAGAATGTCGTTTTTGATGATTCATTTCCTTACACAAAGGTAATGCTCACAGAAGTTGAATTTTACATATTGTAAGAATGAATGACTAGATGTAGTGAAGACACTCCATTGAAGGCACATTGGGAACAACGCAACATTTAAATATATGCAAACCAGGGGTTCCTGTACTTTGCCTACTCCTTATCACATTCACACATACAAACACAAAACAGTGCTCATATTGTGACCGAGTCAGTCTTGTTTATGTTTGGCTGTAATACAATTGCTATACTTAGAGTCTCTTTGAGTGAACTGGTGTTCCACCATGTACGTCTGGCCATTGTTCGGATAATATCGAGGCTGCAATGTTAGACAAAATGGGGAAGCGAAAAGCTGCCTTGATGAATTAGGGGAAAAAATGGTGTATGTATAAAAATTGCTTTGTAATGGTAGTGTAACAAAACGATTAAATATGCAGAACAGCAAAGAAACAAGTTCCAATATGTCTCGACTCGATTAAGTACTGTCTGTGCAAGAGAATTAAAAAATGAACTTATTTGAGGTTATGTCTCAAAGATAAAGATAAATCGTGCCTGTTGTTATCTGGTGATCCAAATTATTATTATTTCTTTCCAGGTTATTAGATATATCCAGTATAACTATGAGATGGCTGCCTCCACCAAAATACAAGGGGTTATGAAGAGAGTCAGACAGGATGCGCGTTGTTTTAGTTTAGTGTGATCCTTTTAAAACCAGAAACTACAGTGTGTCTCACAATGTCACAAAGATACTTAACATTATGGCAATAGTCACATTTAGGGGACAGGGAAGATATTGCATATTGAAGCTAATTGTACTTTATTCTCTCTGCTCAGGATCCGGGTTCAGAAGAAGAAGAAGAAGAAGAAGAGGAGGAGGAGGAGGAAGAGGTGTGCGCCGAAGAGCGAACAGGAGTGGATGAGCGATATGATGAGCACATTGATGTGGCGGCAGAGGAAGAAGGCCTTAAACGCTACCGTGAAGCTCGGTCCAATGAAATGTTTCCTGATGAGGTGGACACGCCACTTGACATGCCAGCTAGAATCAGGTCGGTTCTGCTTCTATTATTACAGACTACATATACATATGGAAACGTTGTGAATTGATGTACCGTAATTTTCGGACTATAAGCCGCGCCTTTTTTCCCATTTTTCGACGCTGCGGCTTATATAACGGTGCGGCTAATCTATGGATTTTTACAGCTAACGGCCACCACCTTTAACTCTATGGGCTCTATGGCCGGTCCGCGGACCCACACCTTTAAGCGGCGGGTTCCAGCAGGAAAAGAGCGAGACAGGTAGCGCGCAAAAGTAAAAGTGGAACCGAGAGTGGTACGAGAGACAGAACGAGNGCCTTGAACCACAACAACAGGCACATTGTTTCCTGCCTGTCTACAGATGCTGACACATTTGTGTTGAGTGGCTCTGCCCCTTTTCACGACACGCTGTGTGTGTGTGTGTGTGCTTGTGTGTGTGTGTGTGGATCAGATGTGCACATTTAGTACATTTGATTACATGTTAAGTGTATTTAGGCATGTTGTTTGTGGGGGAGTATACACCTTTCCAGGTGTGTGGCGCGTTTTCCGGGGTGGTGCCAGGCCCAGGGGAGTACGAGCAGCTAGGGAGTTCGTGTTGAGTGTGGCGGAAAATGTCGTATACTATTGATTGGTTCTGTATTGATTGTTTCTGCTAAAATAAAGGAGAACGTTTTCAACCATTGAAGAGGCTAGAGTGATCTGTGATCTTGAATAGCGCGTGAACGCCTACAATATGAACAGGGGCTTTTTGGTGCCTTGGCCACTGGCTATTGCTTTGTGTTATTTATTTTGTAAATTTAAAAAAACTTGAGCAACGCTGTGCTGTCATATAGCCAACTGCTAGCTACGCAGCAAAAAAATCTGGCCCGGGCCCTTGACCATCTGTCTGTGGGGATTCAATGCCTAGAAAGTTTTAAGTTTGCCAAGCATCTTCGATCTAAATTTGGCCTCCAATGTCTTTTTTTTTGTTGCATTTGGGATTGTTTGACTGTTGGCTTCCTGCCAATGATAAGATCCATCAACCCAGATTATAAAAAAATTAAAATCCTTTCACCTTTAGATGGTTTATTTACGTGTAAACACAATGGTCGCCGCGATTTTGAATTAATCAAACCATTTCACTTAGATAATCATGGATGCCATTTTATTCCCATTCGTCCTGATTGCTTTCAGACGCATACAGTGATTTTGTTAGAGGTTACGACCAGTTTCTCCCCTTCTTCGGACTCTAACCTCAATCTTCAGGTTGTTCCATAAACAACTCACAGCTCTATAGGAGCATGATACTAATATGCCGGTTATCGGTAACTCATTTGAATGCAACTCGTAAATCATGTTGTACTGCGATTTGCATTAGACTATCATCAGATGTCATATTTGCCAGTTGGAGAAAAGGTTCCTTATATCAATACCGTGACTCACTTGTACTATGCCCTTTGCCTACATACCTTGGCCTTTGCATGTTTTAACTGGGTGTCTCTTTCACTGTTGTAAACCCATCTGCCCCACTGCCATGTTTTACCTGTCTGGCAGGTGTGGCTCAGGCTTAAATGTGTCATTTCCCTTAGTGAATCCATTTCCTCCTCCAATTAGCTTTTAGCCCATTAAATCGAGATTTTTCGTGATGTCATGGCCTTCCTTCAATGGTTTGGGCACATCACAATAACTCCTTATAACAGTAATCAAGGGTTAGTTCTTCTGGTCATCAGATTCGACTTTACACTCATATCCTTCAAATATTGAGGAGGGTTTTCTTTCCTTGTGGATAAAGAATTACTCTGGAAATATTGGGAGGACGGTTTTCTTCCCCACTTGTTGTGGATAAGATGTCTCTGGCTACTTGGGCCTTCACCTGGTCAGAATGCTTATCACAAATCTCAGTTTCCATTTTCCTTTGACTCTTTTGGGATTACATTTGCCTTTTCAATTTTTGGTAGGTGGTTTACAGCTCTCCTCATACCTGAAATTCTTCATCATCCGTTTCCTGGCTCTGTTTGAGGTCTGACTGTTTCAATGACACTCTGGTTGGATGAATTTGGACCAACCTATTTTGAGTACTTTCCCTGTGTCAGGATAAAACCACCAATAAGGCAGGCGCTGTTTCTTATCATAGCTACAAAAAATCACCCCTCCTTCGTTCAGTCTTGAATCCAACTTTTTCTTTGTTTTGCTTGTTAAGCATAGCATGCGTGACCAAATGTTCTCATTTTTGGAAAGGTTTAGCTTCTTTCTGTCAACATGTAGTAGGAGTCTCTGTCCTACACGTTTGTTGTATAACACCTATTTTCGAAGGGCACAGCAGCGTCATAACTGCGCATATGTCACAACTCTTTTGATAGGTTACTCTCAATTAGCATTAGTGCATCTTTGCCATTTCAAACAATGGTTCTCCTAATTTCTCTCAGCCGTGTCCCATTTTTGATGGTGTGAATAAGGCAGCTGAGGGTCTCATGTCTGATGCGCATTTCTACTTAGCAATGACTGAAATTTGACCCAGAAGTATACTCAGTACATTATCAGATCTAATGCATTTGATTTTTTCCATTAGGTGAAAACGTCAGCAATGTTACTTCTCAGTTAGCTTTGGCTGTGTTACTCTTAGATTTTAAAAAAATTAAACAAAAACTGCCTCCTGAATAGTCATCAGTAAATGCTAATGTGGTATCTGAACCCATCTTTAGTTGTAGGATCTAT